CTCCTCCAACTAGACACTGGGAAATATTCAGTAATGATTATTGAAACAGTTCCAGTTCAGATAAATATTATGTGTTTTCATGGCAACTCAATAGAGTTCCGTTGTCAAAGCCATCAACTAAATATTAAGTGGAGGAAAATCCATTGTCTTTAGACTTTCCGCAAAGTTGAAATGCTACGTTACATTCAAGTAAGCAGATAATATAGTCAGAGTGTAAGAATATCCCACAGTTCAAATGGTTGTAGTTTTGCTGTTCAAAATTAATTTTAATTTTGTTATCATGTTATTCGCTAATTGACACATTACTGAGATAAAATCCACCAGTGATTTTTTGAATCTGACAACTTTGCAGCTAACTTCACGAAGAGAATGCAGATGGACAACCATTACGTCAAAATGCCCTGGTACAGCCGAAAGTATAGAGTTCAGAACTCCTCTCAGTGTTCACAATTGACCAGGCATATATAACCATTGCCAAAGAAGTCCTACTCACTCTTTCACTTTGCGATAGTGTTATGAGAGAGGACGAAGAGTGAGTGTCCAGAGTTTAGAGAACGTTAGTGGGTACGGAGGACCCACACAGGGAAGTATCCAATAAACTCATTAGTGTATAACCTACTCAATACCGCGAGGCCTGCAGTCGACTTCTTGTGGGTTCGTGGATGAGCACTGCCGAAGTGTCTCGTCCCGACTGATGATTCGAAGTCAGTTTGCGATATAAAATAAAAAGTCAAATTACTGATTTATAATGAATAGGGAAATCCGAAAAACTCAATATGTCACACTTAGCAAGTACTATTTGAGATATTCAGTTACGAATGACACCTTCCATATAACAGCTAATAACTCTATCCAGTCACATAAACCCGAAACCAGGAAGCGAGGTTAGAACCTACATCCTAGTGGATGAAATCTGAATTAATTAATTAATCACACTAAGTCCCGCTCGAAAGTCAATAATTTTAACAGGACGCACCGCTAAGTTGGAACAATAAATTCTGACACTAAATAAACGTAAAGGATTAGGAGAAATCAAAGACTATACAAGGATTAGTTGATTGCAAGGGTCTTAGCCTTATGGGAGATCAATCTAGGTCGGAACAGCTTATTAGTAACGTTACATTCTGTAGAGATTGATGACATGGATTAAAATCCACAAGACTATCAGTTCCCCTTTAAGATGATAGATATATTTTGCTGAATATTATAAAGCTAGATTGACCTGGGTTAGAAGTTGTCCACCAACAACAACTCAACACAAATAAATACTTAGGAGGAAAAAAAGTTGTTTAGTTATCAAGTGAATGGAAAGTGAAATGAAAAAAAAAAGATAAGGCAATAATATAGAGAGAGGGGAAACGTAGAGAAATAAAACACTGATTACACAGAAAGATACAATTTATTGGGAATAATAATGATAAAAAATAAACAAAATAATGTATGGAACTCAGTCGAATTTAATTGAAATATGATCTTGAAGAGGAGAAATAATACATGACAATAGCTAGATTAGTAATTAGATATGATAAAGTAATGATTCATATGATAGATATATCAATCACAACACATGTACGTCAAAAAATAACAAACACACCGAGAATAATTGATGAATATAGAGATATATAATGTTTCATATAAATATGATTGAGAGGTGTTCTTTTTTAATAACATAACCCATTCGCATACATTGAGATGGATGTACCATAGAGACTGAGTGAAAGGAAACATAAAAGATTCGTTTGTTTTTTCATCGCGTGTCAACAGAATGTATATGAACAGGGTATACAGAGTATTTAATTATACAGTGACTCAAAAAATATATAACCACAGTTATAACATGGTAATAATTAATAATAATAATAAGCTAGTATCAATCACAGCAAAAAGAGTCAAATAGTGCAATAATCTTGTTCAAAAACAAGCGAGAAAAAAATACAACATCACAATGGAATTCAATGGAAGTTGGATGCGTCATGACAGTTTACATAACTATGAGTTAACTGCCGGTAAATTATTCGAATTACTCATTACAAAATAGCATAGAGACAATATGATTAATTTATTGCTTAAAAAAAGAATTGCATAATGTAACTTCATTCTTAAATATGCCCCCTCCCATCGGTTAATTTAATATGTAGGTATGAGTGAATACACGAAATGGCAGGAAATCTAGCATTATTCTGTTCCTACGAATCGACGCAGAAAATCTTTGTTAGTAGATTTCATTATATCGTGAATTTCTTTTTGTTTTAATATCTTGGATAGTTCAAAAGTCGTTCGGCGACACCAAGATAATACACAGTTTGTGCGATGCCAAATAATGGTGCCATAACCATGACACGACAACCAGCGCCTTTAAACAGACCAAGAACACCTTCATTACGTACCGTTTGCCTAAAAAATCATCAGAATACATTCAACGATGAGCATATAAAAATACATAAAGATGACATAAGGCAATTTATCAAAGTCTATGTTACACCGGTCAGTCAGTGAGTTACAACAGAGAAATTCGAACGTAAGTACATAAGTTCAGGTTGCCATGCCGCATTAGCACAGAGACGCAACAGTCAGTTCAAATCCCATAGTGGTAGAAATACTAGAAGTCCAGGTCAGAAACCACCCTGGTTTTCTCGAGTCTACTCATCACGGGCTCTAATGTTACACCGGACATCTCAGTTTGTACCGCCTCACCAGGACTCCTACTTAACTTCCATACAACATTACTCTAATATAAGTCAAGCAGATTGCATGACAACTATTGTTATTAAGACAATTTTAATTGATCATAAGGAAAGTACGTTTGTTTGGTTATACATGGAAAAAATATGTTTAAGACTAACAAGAAAATATTTGTTAGACGTATTCTTAACTAGACAATATGAAGTGAGTGGATGAAATGTGATTGGATTATCTAGATGACCGGGTAGAGAATGAAGATGATATATCTTGACTGATAACATTTTAAGTAAGTGTTACTGCTCAAAATCATGTTATATCATCAGAAAATAAAATAAGCATCAATCCTATCCTTAAACATTCAGTCATGAAACAAAACTTAATTTAGCGGTTTTATATTTTAGGGAAGAACTAATCAGACAAAAACTCACATTTTTTCAAGAAATTCGTCCGTGCATTTAATGATATTTTATTGCGGATAACTGAGAACACCTAGTTATATGTACGTATTCGAATATTAACTATCACGTAGAATGCCGATGTGTTTTAAAATGCACGATTAACGTTCAGTCAGACAGACAGAGAGATACAACACAGAACTTCGTACATAAGTACATCAGTTCAGGTTGCCATAACGCATAAGCGCACAGACACAATTGTCAGTTCCAATCCAATAGTTGTAGCGATAGTAGAAGCATTAGCAGTAATGGAGAAGATTAAGGTTTGAAGATATGATTCAAGAAGTATAATTCAGTGAGATAAATTTAGGAGAGAGAGAGAGATTATGACGAATTCAGAAGGTTAGAATTAAAAAGCACACAAAGAGTGGATGCAACTGCGCCAATCCAAACGATTTTGAGCCATGTCGTTCAAGGTCTCTTACCATCGGTGACTTACGTCTCGCGGACTCCTACCAGATAACCTACATCTACCAACATGACTCAGTCCACTTGTCAGTGACTTCATGGATTTCTGTCATGTTTTCGTTTGGCCGCCACTAGCTTTCGTCCAGCCTATTCCTACACCACAATACATAGCTTGTCGACGAAGTCGGTGGTTTGGTATACACAACACATGTTCCAATCACCTCAACTGATGAAGTTTCAGTACTTCATCTATTGATTTGTCATCGTTACCTAGTACTCGTTTCCTAACGACAGCGTTGCTTACTCGGTTGTCCCAGGATATATGAACAATGCTTCGGAGACACCTATGATCGAAAACGAGCAATTTACGAATGTCCTCTACTCTTAACGGCCATGTTTTGCATCTGTCTAGTAGGAATGACATCGCTTGAAGTAATGAATTCCGATGACGTTCATTCAGAGGAATAAGACATTCTGGCTTAACATATGTATACTTCTGTTATACCGGAAGGAAAATTGAAAGGATGGTATCTACTAGGACAAACTTATGGATTATTATTATTATTATTTTTAAATATAAAATAAATTTTGATATCCAGATCTGATGGTGGGAGTCCACGCTGTTGTCTTAATAGTAATTATTGAGGTTGAGTGACATGACTTACTACTGGTCGTAACGGTAGAGATAAATTCACTTTTTTTTTATCTTGCTTTACATTTTAGACAAACTATCAAGTGAATATATTGATTTTTATACAATCATACAATCTATGCTAAATGTTTTGCAATACCACTCAAACACTTGTGAAGTATCAATAATTCCTAATTGTGTTAGACTACTTATTTAGGATGATGTGATGTAGTAACTTGATTCGATCGACATGTTTGTATACGATTGGTTGAATTATTGTAAAGTGTATGAGTTTCGGGTGCAGAAATTTCTCTGATTACTTAATAATACCATCAATAAGAGATTTTTATGGTGTGTATATGAGATAAAATAAGTTTGTGTTTGTTTATGTGATAATACCATGTGCCATTTCATCAATTGCAGATATTCATTGAATAGGAGGTGTAAATAATAAACTAATTTACAGATAGGCATTTTAAAAATGTGGAATCTAGTATAAATGTGTACATTAAATCCATATTACTCAGGATTCGCAGTACTAAAGTGAAATGTAAATTCACATGATAAAATTCAAAGAGTGAAAATATTCCTAACACTAATGGTTAGGGATGGATAAAAATGAAAATGATTTTATAAAGAGGTTGGGAATGCATCATTATTGAACTCAACTGATTTGGAGTCATGTTGTTAAAGGTCTTCCCGAAACTGTTTAATATAACAACAGCCAGAGACTTCAAAAACTGATGCGATACATTTTAGTCTCACATTATTCATTCATATTACTGATTTAGAACGTTGAGTGATACGGTCGAATATCGGCTACACATTTATTCACCTTTTATTATCCATTAAATCGCCACGTTCAAAATTATTTCATATGATTTCTGATTCCACAAATTCGTTTTTTATTCTCTGGTTATATTGTTTATCCGTAATCTTTACCACAACCACTGACAGTATTAGTTTGTTCTACTCTGGGATTTATTCCGATAACTTCAACTTGCTCATATGATATGGTAAACTGAACTGATTCCCATTAGGTTATCAGGTCTTAGAATCCCAAACATGTGTTTAGCCCATCGATCCAAACTCCTGGATTGGAAATGAATATATGCCCATCATTTTCCGAGATGGTCTCAATAACAGTCGGATTTCTAATACGTTTCCTTGAGTAGTCTGAACAGTTGTCTACTATTATTTGTCGTCGCTGTATTTTCCGTCTCTTTTGCTTTCGCTACCCATCACTGCTCACGATCTCTGAGTAGGCTTTTAATGGACTTGTGTTTACGCTGCCTCCGCTACTCAGCATGTTTAAAGCCAGATGGGATGGGTTTTGAGCATCTATCAGGTTAGTAGATGATACTAAAGAGCACTGCTCCTCCCTAACATTTTGTCTACCTTATTTTCAGATATCACTGCTGTTTTCACAGCGTTTTGGATGTGATTACAAGCTGTCTCGGGGTGGATATTACTTACATAGCAACCTAACTGTTTATCTAGTTGCTCTTGAAATATAATCTTGGCTTTGCTATCGTTGAGTATAAAACTCAGAGGTTTCTTTGATATCTCTTTATTACGTCCAAGATGACTCAGAGAAATACACGCTCGTAGTAGAGCATCGTCTGAATCTAAACAAATGCTCTAGAATTAGCGGTAGTCTTCATAGAGCCTCTCTACTGATGGTCGACAGCAATGTAGTCCAGTTGGATCCGGCGTTTGGCATGGTAGAATCTGTAGGAACATATGCTACAGCCAATATAGCTCTGTCATGTCATCATGATAGGCAAACCCGACCACCACGTCGAGGTAGCAGCTGCGGTCGTGATCACTTCTGTATAGGTAATCCTCTTCTATTTGTAGATGGTCTCAGGGCAATGTATTCATTCTCCACTCATGCGCTGAACAAAAGCAAAACTGCATCAGTATGGGGCTAAACCAAATGGTCCGGTGATGATCCAGATGGAAGAAAACGCTTGAAACTACTAGATGTCCGTAACAAGCCTGATCACCACGTCTAGGTAGCCGCTTCGATCGAGGCAGTCCGACCAATCTTATTTATTTATTTAGTTAAGATCAGTTCGTGATATAAACTAGGAGAGTAATCATTTTCTTCTGCTACGATATCTAAAAATATTCAAGCCATTCGATAAATAATTCACACAATAAGGACTTACACAAAACAATCTGTAATTCCTTTGAACACTTTCTCTCCTTCTATATGTTTAATTGTTTGTAGTCGAGTTTTAATAACTAGAAGAAAAAACAACAACAAAACAATAATAATAATAATAATTATTATAATAATAACAATTACAAATTATTTTTAAAGCACACAATTTCTATTTGATACAATTTAGCCATTACAAATAATAGAATGTTCTCAATTATTAGACGTCACTCGCGTTGATCTGGAGGAATATCACCGACAATCTGGAGATGCGTTTTTGAAAAATAAATTAATAAACTAAATATTCAAAAAAAAAATCAAAATGTTTACTGCTAATTCACAAGTGGCTAAAACTTACCATCGAGGGGGGTTGCAATGAATGCAGCAATTGTTCCTGACAAAAATCCCGATAAAAATGACCAGTAGAAAACAGCTTCTACGCTAGTGGGAGATCTTCTTGGACCCTATGAAAGAAATTAAATGAGATCAAAATAAAACCGGAATGCTAAATATATTTGATAATGAAGAAATGATAAATCCCGAATTTAATTTAATGAAATAATAGAATAGCGACTAATTTAAGACCTAACTTGGAAAAAAGGGAAAGAAGCCAACCAAAGAATCACTAAGGTTATCTGGTTGAAGGTAAAATCAACAAAGTTTTAATTCATCGTTAAATTGCACGAGAGTACATATTTGTGTATTTGTAACTTAATGATTAAATATGGTTTTTTATTTTACATCCAACTATAGATGAGAGCTTATAACCATACCCGATGGTTCGAACCAAAAAAGGTACTACTGATTTCAAATCAACACTTTATCAATTGAATTCAGTATTGATTGTTCCATGCTGTACTCGTAACCAAGTAAGGAAACCGACGGCGTACGATCTCAGAGGATGCTAAACCCTTATGTAAATTCTACATAGACTTTAGTTTTCACTACTAGATACTTTTGGTTTCCGGATTTGTTGGAATACGAAGTATTTTCTCTCGATTCTGGTTGTTTTGAGACGAATCTGTTGTTGTCGCCAGGGTATACTGCAAATTCATTGACTACTAGGTAGTAACCAATGAAATGTTTTTCCCTAATACTTAGTATTGATTGAATTATACCGACTAAGTTACAACGTAACCACCAGTCTAAACGACTGCACATGGCATGCACTATGTTGAGTAGTTGGAAGTAGTCAGCTTGAAAACCTAGAGCAGTACAGTATTTTACTGACTACCTCCAGTTATCTAACATTAGAACCTAACTTGTACAACTGTATCATTTAACAAATAAAGGGTTATGTACATGATAGTGAGCTAGTTTTAGTGAGACGGGTAATGATACCAGCAGGTTTTTTAAAATTGAAATAGGAGGAGCAGGGTTTGAAAATGCAACTCAACGGTTAAAAGGCGTTGTTGTAAGTATGAAAACTTATATATGAGAGTTGGAGGTCTCTGATTTTAAATCAGATTGTATAGATGGGATACCAGATCATAAGACATGCACATAAACTTACGTCCATTATATCTTATGGACTAGAATCTTTATCTAAATGTTTGATAAATTAGTTTGTGATCTTCCTTACTTATCTAATAAACACAAAATCTAAAACAACCGGGTACCAAGAGTGTATGCATCATACAAATAAGGAGATAAAAGCACTGTGAAAAATAATAACAATAAAAGTAAAATTACAGAAAAAGCAAGAATGGTATAATCATACGAAATTTAGTCCAGTTAAGGGAAAAAGCTGAAAAAGGCCTCTTTCTGTTTAATTCCATGTACTATTCCATTGTAAAGAATGTGGAAAACTCCAGTTAGATAGTTACTGGTTCTTATTCTGAGTTGTACTAGCCCCAGGGAATTACTACGGACAAAAAAGTGTCAGTCGAACAGTTAGATAGGACAGTAATTAAACTAAACACACACACACACTGATTGTCAGCAGTCCTTTGGAGACAATGATGGTAAACTTAAAAAATCGTAGAATATCCTTAGCTCACAGAGGTAAGGTTCCACAAAGATACAGCAGAATGACTCTAACCAATGCAATGTAAATCGAGTTTTTTTACAGCAAGACTAACATCCTAAAGGCTCCAGGGGTGGATGAAATAGGTATAAATCGCTATGGTTTTCAATATTATTTTGGGGAATGAACATTTATTATAGTTTGAAGGTTTAGTTAGCTTGTCTCACGTAATATGGTAAACCAAAAAAAATTAATCACAAAAACAATTCGAAAGAATTTATCACTACATATACTTACCAAAGCATTGAGATTCGCAAATAATGGGAAATATATCATGGAAAATGATACATCACGCAAGAATGTAGCACTCATTCCCCGATATAAGCCAAATATACCTTTCTCACGAACTAATTTAACAGCTAGTTGAGTAGCAGTCTGTCGGGTCGTTACAACTGTACCACCACTGTTAGTCACAGAAACTTAAGAGTAAAGTGCAAAAAACATTATGGAAGGGAAAACGAATAATACACACAAAACTGTGAAGTAAAACACCTGTTATCATGGTTGACTTTAGAAACTACCTGAAATACTTCAAAACAACTATAGAGGGTTTGTGAAGATTGTTAAATTGTTCGTAGTTTACTGCATAAACTCACCGCAGCCAGACAACTATTAGAAAACAGAAGCTGAAAATTTTTCTGTAATTCTGCATGTGTTGTATGTAATTGAACTTAAAACGACAGTGTCTTCAGAATTCTCGATTTATTAACAGCTGAGTATTAATCCTAGGTCGTGCTATATCATTTCTCCTAAAAGATTAAGTAGACATTCCTGAACTTTTCATTAGTTACTTCTATTAACTATCTTTAAATTGTACTTTTCATGTTCAGATTTGTATCGTCTCCTCTTGTTTGCTTCTCAATTTGAACCAGTGCACAAAACCATCTCAGATCATGATGTAAACGATAACTAACTGGTCAACCGACAAGGTTAAATATACCGGTAGGATTAACTCAGTGTTGCGAATTAACTATACACCATCAAGAAGTGAAATAAAAGGAAATTACTGTGACTTTTAAGATGAATAAAAAGTTAATATTTCCATACAAATCAAGCAGGCACACTTGTAACAATATATAAAGATGAGACCAACAACTATGAGAAAAACAGGTAGCATAAATTAAGATGGTGAGGGATCTAGAAGGATCTTGACAGATTTTTTGATCTACGAGAACATCAATGCAAAGAATTATTTACAACCAGATCGATCGCTAAAAAAGATGTTACATCACAAATATCGAAAAGGTTGAGAAATCGACTAACAAATTCAGATAATTTGGTTTACTTGATGTTCGACCAGCATCCTGTAGTTGGATTTTTAATAATTCCATTGGTGTGGTGATAATAATTTGACAAGTCCCCGCACCAGCTCCAGAAACCATTTCACGAATCGGAGTTAAAGGTTTGCTGGAAAAAAAATTATCCAACAAAGAAGCATGAAAGAACAAGCTAGTAATTAACTCTCTTAACAAAATACACTAAGCGGTTCTAAACGTTACTTAGCAAATTAGAGAACCTATTTTATTCAGATATGTAACTTAAAGAAGAGGGAAGATGATAAATACATACCTGGTCATAACTGCTGGTCGAAAAATAATCAGTCTTTTAACAATAGTGACAACTGAACAGAAAATCAAATCGGTTGCTAGGAATCTAACAAACTTCGCCAACGTACAGAAATTTATTGAGTACTGTTGTTAGTCAAAGACCTACTCTTGAGAAAAATATATAGTAAAGAACTCGACAGAACTTCGTATTGAAGGTTCGTATTCGGTATCATCACTTATTACTTAGGTGTACACCGAAGTCAAAAGTGTAATCCACTGTATCAACAAACTGTTCTTAAGGTTGGGCGCTCCCTACGAGAGCTGAAGGTTTCGGGTCAAGTCCTCGGTCGAGTGTTTTCTACTGAGGAATTTCATACTAGGACAAACAGCTGTATATATATATATATATATATATATATATATATATAAATCCAGTTTTCATTTTTTTCGAGTAGAAACACATAAATGACGCTTCAGGAAAAAAATTAAACTAACTGATTTACTTATTAGTATTTGTTTACATTAACAGTGGTATACATATAGATGTTTTATTTGAAAACCGCTTTATTTACTTCTCATAAAAAATGTGCATTGTTTTGGTGCATTTATTGGAATCATTTCAGCAAACAAAGAAAGGAGAATTCACAATAACTGATACTTGTGCATTCATATTTTATCATATCCCGACCGTAGCTGCTGCCTTGACGTGCTGTTCGGGCTTGCCTATCGTGATGACCAGACTGACCTATGTTGGCTAGAAAATATGTTCCAGGTAGGTCAGTGAGAGAACAGTGATACTGAAGGCAGTTACTCCAGGTCTGAGGGAGAAGTCATACCGCTGACTGTAGAGGGGTGTGATAACGATTAGATGTTCCCTCAGACAACCAGCATTTGCGGCGATGCTGCGTTCTCACGACGGAAAGGAGTTAGAAAAGTTCAATCCTAAAAATGTCACACCTTCCTTTACCACATGGATTCCCATCTCCGGCGGCAGGGTTACTTGAGGGGCGGAGCTAACACTAAAAACTCCCCATATAAAAGCCGTGCGCGACGGGCTTCAAGGAGTTGTCTCTTGAGCTCTGCGATCACGCCCCCAGGTCCCTAACATTAACAGTAGGCAGTCGGGAAGTGATATCCGCCCTCATACCTCTTAAAACACACAAGATCAAATTGGTCACAATCAAATCCTACCCACACCTCTTAATAACTCCCTTATCTTCAAGACTTACCCTTTCGTTCCTTTGTCACGTAACGCCGCTGAAGCAAACGTTTCGAGCTCACGAAACATTATCCGGTCTCCGGAAATCCCGCTCTAAACTACTATTTCAGAAAAGGATGGTCATATTATCCGTTTCCAATGCAGGAGGCTGGACGGATGGGCAGAACACTTTAAAGATCAGTTCAACTGGCCTCGAGCCACTCTTCGGTTACCCACGATCTCCAGTCATCCTGAATGGCAAGTCGACGTAAGTCCTTGTAGTCTTTATGAAGTTGAGAAAGCGTTAGGAAGTCTGAAGTGAGGGCAAGCTGCAGGTCCTGACAGACTGACCCCTGAGATATTTAAGGATGCTGGTCCAGTTTTAGCAGCTAGGTTGACTGAGATCTTAGGTAGGATCTGGGAACTGGACGTAACCCCATCCGACTGGTATCAATCACTGATTGTCCCAATCTATAAGAAAGGACAAAAGTCCTCTTGTGACAATCACAGGGGAATAAGTCTAACTAATATGGTATCGAAAATATTGGCCTCAATAATACTTCGGCGCTTAACGAAAGCTCGTGAAGAGCAGACTAGAGAAAACCAGGCTGGTTTTCGACCTGAACGTGGCTGTATAGACCACATCTTCACACTACGACAGGTCCTGGAACACAGACACACATTTAGGCGTCCTACAATAGTTGTTTTCCTGGACCTAAAAGCGGCATTTGACTCTGTAGATCGTGAGGTTCTGTGGCAGTGTCTGTCATTGAAAGGTGTACCAGAGAAGTACATTAACTTTATACACGATCTCTACTCGAACACCACTGGTCGAGTGAGAGCTTATGGCGAACTGTCACCAGAATTCTTCACTTACAGTGGTGTCTGTCAGGGATGTCCACTCTCTCCATTCTTGTTTAATTTTATCATAGACATGCTCCTAGAAATAACCTTATCCTCGTCTGAATTTTCAGGAGTAGACCTTCTTCCAGGTGGCTCGCTTATTGACTTAGAATATGCCGATGACATAGTCCTACTTGATGAAGACGCTGACAAAATGCAAAGTCTTCTGACTACCATAAGCAACAATGCAAGCATGTTCGGGATGCGGTTCTCACCCACGAAATGCAAAGTGTTGCTTCAAGACTGGGTTGCATCGACACCTGAACTAGTGATAGGGAGTGAGGTAGTCGAACGTGTAGATCGCTTCACTTATCTTAGGAGTCTCATCAGTGCCGATGGCCTGGTGACTGACGAAATCTCAACTCGGATACAGAAGGCTCGATTGGCTTTTGCCAAGTTGCGTCACTTATGGCGTAGGCGAGATATCCTTTTGCTGACTAAAGGACGAGTGTACTGCGCAGCAGTTCGCTCCGTCTTACTTTATGGCTGTGAAACATGACCAGTCACAGTAGAAGATATTCGTAGGTTACTGGTTTACGATCATAGGTGTCTTCGAAGCATAGCCCGTATATCCTGGGACACCCGAGTGAGCAACGCTGTTAATAGGAATCGGGTGCTACGTAAGAATGGCAGATCAATAGATGAAGTGGTGAAACTCCATCAGTTGAGGTGGTTGGGACATGTGTTGCGTATGCCCAACCACCGACTCCCTCGTCGAGCTTTGTTTTGTGATGTAGGTTGGAAGAAAGCTAGGGGTGGCCAAACCAAAAGATGGCAGAAATCCATGAAGTCATTGACGAATGGACTTAGCCATGTCGGTAATTGTCGACTACCTAGTTGGGGTCCGCGAGATAATAATCGATGGTTAGAGACCTTGAATGACATGGTTTAAAATCGTTCGCAATGGCGCCAGTGCATTTATTCTTTGTGTTCTCTCAAATCCTAATCTTCTGGATTCTTCAAATTTGTAAACTTTTCCCACTGAATCATACTTCTTGAATCATATCTTCTAATCCTAACCTCTCCGATTACTTTTAATACCTTAACTACCTCTTCTACTATTGGATTTGAATTGACAATTACATCTCTGTGCTGATATGGTGACATGAACTGATGTACTTACGTACGAAGTTCTACGTTGCATCTGACTGACTGACTGAGGTAGGTTATTGTATTGTCTAACGCATCCGAAATCTTACGCTATCAACTTCTAGTTTGGAATTTTAAATTGTCTTAATGTTACGCTTTCGATATTGTTGACTGCTTTCATTGACTGCATCATTAACTGTAAGTTCATTCTACTTATTCACTGAGTTGTTGGATGAACTTTCTTTTTCTCTTCATGATTCTCTTATATGCTGCTAATCACATGCAAAGTACTCAAGGTCATACTATTCTCGTTGAATATCGTGTATGTAACCAACAATGTAATTACGAAATAACAATATTCATTGAAATACTCTGTGCTGAATTGGAAATTGAGGCTCAATCACTAGAACAGACTATTGGTTCAATTGCTTCAGTGCATTTCATTGAAAAGGTGTTATTCAAATTACGGAAATTTAATCATAAACACTGTACTGTTTACTTATAAACATATTTTATAGGTATTTCGTACAAAATACACTACTAACACTGTTTAAATTGAAGTTAGCCTTCTTAACACAAGGTGAGAGTGACTAATCAGTATAGAGTTGTGAAGATTGTTGAGTTTCCCTGAAACTAAAACCCCTCAGCATTAGAGGACCATTGAAAACCTGGAAGCACTGGACAGCCGTTTCGCCTTAACATGAGACTCATCAGCCGTACGCATCCACGAACCAACAAGCGAGAATCAAACCAAGGACTTCGCGCACGAACGCTTAACCTCTCGAATCCAGTCACTACTAAGCACATGATACTTGCAAATAAGGATTTGCAGGGATTGTTGTGAACCGACCTCAGTTGGACCATTATTCTGTGGGCCACTAGAATCGAGAAATTTCCGGAGTATATTTTATTACCAGAATGAAATTATTTGAACTTAAATGGCTAACCATTTTCGTTCCTGAGCACACTCAGTAAACCTCCCTAAGTGCAAACACTTTACACTAATACCATACCTAGCAAACTTATGTAAGTTAAGTAATATTTAATCTGAACATAGAATAACCTGTCACTGGAATCATGATAGACCTGACATTCCTATCACAGTAATTATTGCTTTAGTAGTTCCGTGCTCTGTTTCCGTTTCATCCGTTGTAGTTGTAGTTGATTACAGCCAGTCTGTTATGCAACTGGAAACAACATTAAATACACCATTAATACAGTAAAAGGATGCCCAGTTGGAAAGAATTAACAATTCCTGAATGATGCCTTGCACTGCTTTAAATAATATAAGATGACATCTATCCTCTACTTATGCATAAAGCTGACCATGTCTATAAACCAGCATGAATTCTATAATTATTACTTTTAGGATATACTATTATTATTATTATTATTATTATTGCTAACAGTGAAATCCAGAAAACAAGTTTTGTCGCGTTGGACACTAGTCAGTTAAATGTACTTACTACAAACCAGCGTTGGTGTCCACTTAAGGACTGCAAGACACTTTACATCATGAAAGCAACTGGATTACGTGCAGAGTTTGAAGCCAAAGAGACTGGGTTCGAATCCATACGTGAATATCAACACTAGGGTGCTGTAACAAACATATACAAATGACAAGTCTCGAAAACGATGAAACGAGCTTTCTGGATCCAACTGCAAGTCACTGCAAAAGCTAGAAATTTATGGTTCTAGGGTGACTGTAAAATCTTAATAGCCATTTAATTTTTCTAAAACAAAGAAGGAATAAAAACTTACCCTTCAGGCTTTAAATGATAACGAAAGAAATCATTGCCAACTAATTTTATTGCTTTTTCTGGTGTAATTAAAAGAAGATTGACGCCACTTCCTAAAATATTGGGGAATAAACACTGGCATGAGGGTACGTAGTTTTTTCATTTGCGATATAACGACTCCAGTTGCCGTATAACAACTGTAAATTGTTAAGCTTTGACAATATGACAAAGACTAACAATGGACCTAGTGAAAGAGCACTAAATAAAGGTTACTTGTACCATTATTTACATCTAACAACTTTTCTTTCAAGCTAATTTATTCACAGTTAAAAACTCACAAATTTGTTCTACTGAGTCTTTGGTTTTTTGTAGCTGGAAATTCAACTCAGATTAGGACGAACGAATGAATATGGCATGAATATAAGGCTAACCCATTCGAGCGACTGAGGTGATAAGAAGCCGAATATAGTTGCATGAATTTATTTTATGTGCTCATTTTTGAAAACAGACTTCAAGATGAGGAATGGGGAAGAGAGACATAAATAAGCAGGAAAAGCAAACGCATCAACTGTTTTTGACGACTCACTATTTACAGCTAGATAAAAATAAACTAAGAAGAGAGTAAGCGGTACAGACACATACGCGCATATAAAAACCATCAGCTATAAACAAATGTTTGACGAAGTCAAAACATGTATGGATAATGGGATGAGAAGAACGAATTAACTGGTCTGTGCGAAAGTTAGAATAACCCATGTAAGCTTGGCATAATGGTAGATACTAAAGGATCAAGCCAACATCCATCTACTTCGGTTTGGGTCGGCTAGTAATAAATAATTAGTTGCATGAATTGTGTAGCTTAAAACTGAGTACACAAATTTGTACCTGGTAAGCAAGCTACAATAGTACAGATGTAACATTATGTTGATTACCATCAAAATAGTTAGGTAACCGTTTCTAAAAAAATAATTTTTCTATAAAGCTGTTACTGAAACGGGAAGTTGGATGCCATTAGAGTTTTGATGGCGGTAGTCATTTGTTGGCTGCCCACACAATCAATCAGCAGCAACACAGAACTTCGTACATGAGCACATCAGTCCAAGTTGCCACACTACACTAGCACACACAGTAGTGAGATATTTCCTACTGAAGTGGATGAAAGGGAAACTAGGTTAAATACGGTACTGAAAATGTGGGAAAGCGACTGCGGAGCTCGAAGAACAACTGCTTGAGTTCATTTACACATCGCTTGTATGTGATCTGTCCCATATCTGTCAGCTACATACCTTCAGGGCCTTACCGCAAACGGAAATCCATAAAAGTAAGATAAGGTACGATGCTTTTAGGACTGATTTGTACTAACCTTGTATTCCCCAGTGTTCTCCCCATCAATCCCATATCTTTGATTGATAATGAATAACAAGCCCATCCTTTTCTGAGATAGTCAAAATGCAGTCTTCTGATTACCCTAAACAACAATGCAAGCATGTTTGGGATGTGATTCTAACCCTCGTAATGCAAAATGTTGCTTTAAAATCGGGTTGCATCGGCACCTGAACTAGTGATAGGGAGTGAACCAGTTGAGCGTGTCAACAGCTTCACTCAACTTGAGAGTCTCGTCAATGTTGATGGCATGGTGTCTGATGAAATCTCAGTATGGATACTGACGTTACCTATGGCGTAGGCGAGATATCCATCTGCTAACTAAAGGACGAGTCTACTGCGCAGCAGTTCGCTCCTTCCTACTTTATGGTTGTGACACATGGCCAGTCACAATAGATATTCGTAGGTTACTGGTTTTCGATCATGGGTGTCTCGAAAACATTCAGTCAGTCAGTAACAACGCAGAACATGTTTGAAACTGTAGGGTACATCAATCACAACGATGACAATAACAAATAGTGATAAAAATCAAAATGATAAAATGGGTATCTTAACATAGAACAGAATGAGCAATAAATATCTACAAACTTGAATCACTACTTCAGTAGAATTATCTGAACCCTTTCCACAGTAAGCCAATCACTGGAGCGAAAGCAGAATGGTAAACTGCAGCAAGTACTGGAAAAGTACTATTCATACATAATGAAAACTTTAAACAACACAATTAGGTGTAAACCTACTAAACCATAACCATTCTATTGAAATTAAAATAAATAATCGGATTGGCAAAAATAATTTGATTGTTAATATTTGAGTATTAAGATCATTGAACTGTAATCTCATGAGAGCAAATAAGACAGCTAAACAATAAACCCGTCAACCAATGAAGGAATTAAAATGGCACAATCAGCTTTAGCGACATGAAAACCATTTGGTGACGATATGAATCAAATAACTAAAGTATGCCTTCGAAATATGTAAGCTAAAATAATAGCTCACCTTTAAAAGTTATTTTCGCTATTGATTATTTACATCGCATAAAACTAAGTGATCCACTCAAGTTTGACAATTACTACTATAGTTAACGGCTATGAAAATATAAATAATTTACCAAAACAAAATTAACCATCAATCACATATTACTAACCTCTGTACATGCCAAAAAATCCTTCAGCTCGGTATGTTTTTGCAGCACAGTCCAAGCTTTTTAAGCATATGAAAAGTAAAATTGAAAAACTTTATCAACAACAATTTAGTTTGTGTATCAAAACGTCTTTGGAGAGTTAACATTATTCGTAAATTATATTACATTCGTGGAATTATCAGTTAGTCATCATCAATGCAGAAACTGGTAAACATAGGCACAAATTTAACTTGCCATACCCCAGCGACGACAGATGATGTGAACAAGATAAATCGTAAAAGCGGTTGAAACTAGGCAGCTATTTAAGAACAACGATCAGATTATAGGGTAATACGAATTTCCGATGTAGTCAAAGTAGTGTTTTCTCGAAGCATAATATCACAGATCATAACAATGTACCGTCATTATTGGAAAACATACATACATAGTTTATAAAACTAAAAATATTTACTATCAACAAAATTCCTATTTTTAATTATCGACTGCAATCGTAAACGCTCAGACAGTTATTGAATTGGGACTAGAAGTTTCGATTGTAATCTAGAATGGAGTTAAATTATTCTCGGATGTCAAACAGTTATATGAAATCATAAACTTGTAATCTGAAGAACTTGAAGAACCAAAATTAAGAAAATTCATCACTCTGAAACCCTTAAACAGTAACTGTGGTTACTATATTCACTATTTTTTCAGTGGGTATGTAAAATTAGTGCGACAGCGGCGACATAAACGCGAAAAGAATTGTTATGATCTTATTAGGATGGAATAAACGTTGTAAACCTTGCGCAAATCGATACATCTGGGATGCAAGAATCCTTATAACTATATGCTATCAGTAAGCAAATTTAAAAAGTGAAAATAAATTCATTAAAGACTTTTCAATGTATGAAGCAATCTTGTATCATAGCTGAACAGATTTCGTGAAATGTCCTCTGTTGTAATAAGCCCGACCGAAGGCACTGCTTTGATGTGGCCCAAAGACGAAGTAGCAAGGATCATTTCCATCACACTGTCATGATCAAAGAGATATCGCTCTCCTTAAATCTGAGGAATATGAGTGCTGTGGCAAACCGTAGCTGCTACCATGACGTGGTGGTCGGGCTTGCCTATCGTGATGACCCGACCGAGCTATACTCGCTGGAACACATGTTCCTGTAGGTTCTACCATGCCAGGCAGGTCGATTGGAGAACGATGAGACTAAAAGCAGCTGCTCAAAGTCTGAGGGCGAAGTCGTACTGCTGACTGCAGAGGGGTGTGACAGCAGTAAGGTGTTTCCCTCGGACAACCAGCGTCTGCAGTGATGCTGCCTTCTCACAAGGAAGGAAGGGCTAGAAAAGGTCGACCCTAAAAATGCCACACCTCACCCTACCTCACGGATTTCCATCGCTGGCAGCAAGGGCTGCGCACTAATGGCTTTTAAGAGCGGAGCTAATACTCAAAAACCCTTTCTTTAAAAGGCCGTGCTTGACCGGCCACAAGCAGTTGTCCCCTGGGCTCTGCGGTCATGCTCCCAGGTCTCTAAGACCAAGACTAATCTACATTCCTTTTCAGGTCCCTCAAGAAACAACCTTCCACGGTGTGAGCAGCCGGGAAGTGACAACCGCCCTCATACCCGTAACAGCACGAGAGACCAAATTAGTCAAAATCAAATCTCTCTTATCTCTACGACTAACTCTAGTCGCATACCTTCAGCTCACTGCACCTCTAATGCAAGCGATGCGAGTTCACGAAAGGTCATTGCTGGTCTCCTGAAACCCCGTTCTAAACTACATGTTGGGGCATTTAATGTACGGACATTGTGTCAAATAGGGCAACAGGCTTCATTAGCCAGGACTTTAGAATCTCGCTCAATCGATGTGTGCTGCGTCTCGGAAACGCGCATACAGGATCCTAGTAAAATCATTAATCTGATTTCACCTTGTCAAAATAAAGAAACATCCCAATTTACTCTTCATGTATCTGGAAGCCCTGATGCTGCTTCCCGGGATCTCGCTGGTGTAGGTATAGTATTGAGTCATAGGGCAGAACTAGCTCTCCTTGACTGGATCCCAGTAGATAGTCGCTTGTGTGCAGTCCGACTAAACGAGACAGTAGGCAACAACAATAGACCATTGTTCCGACTCATCAAGGAAACCGGTATTAGGAGTTCAAATGTGAGTGAAACTCTCTCGGAAAAGCATGGCTGTATCATTCATTCTCAACCCAGGAGATTGGATCGATGGGAAGAACACTTCACGGATCAGTTCAACTGGCCTTCAACCACACCGGTTGCGCACAATCTCCAGTCATCATGAATGGCTATTCGATGTAAGTTGTCCGACTCTTTAGGAAGTTGAAAAGGCTATAGGAAATCTGAAGCAAGGAAGAGCAGCAGGGTCTGACAGGCTTAACATTGATATTTTTAAGGATGATGGTCCAGTTTTAACAGTTAGATTGACTGAGATCTTAGGTAGAATCTGGCTACTGGACATAACCCCATCCGAGTGGTCTCGATCACTGATTGTCCCAATTTATACG